ACTACCTGTATTCCGTTGGATCACTGAAAGTTCAGGTTATAAAACATTGAAGTTGATTTTCAACATCCCATTGAAATGAAAGTTAAATTTATTATGATTCAGTAAAATATTTCTGTTGTGGATTCCGTGAATGGAATCCTGTACAAATAAATAAACAATGCAAGTAATTGAGATAGAAAAATAAGTGTATTAAACGTAACAATACAGATTGAAGTGAAGATTAGTAGTCCAGGAATGCGGGTTAGAAGAATGTATATGTACAAGTCTCTCTCTCTCTCTCTCTCTCTCTCTCTCTCTCTCTCTCTGATAACACCCTGTGTCTGTCTCCGTATCTCTCAACGTATCTAAACGTATCTCGATATTTCGACATCTCAACGTATCTCGATATTTAACAGTCCACCCACGGAGAATATATGTGGCACAAGGCCGAGTTTATAGTGGGTATCTCCGAGCCCGTAGGCTCAGCCAAAAAGTATCCCCTGTGAACCCGCATGAGCGGGTTCGGGAACAGTTTACCTCCTCGAAGGTAACTTTGCCCTTCGGCAAAGCTTCGTCCGGGTTCCCCTCTGCCAAAACAGAGAGTTCGACAGACGTCGCACACAGTCAGAGACTGTATCTCGACGTATCTCGGTATTTAATATCCCACCCACGATGAATATATGTGGCACAAGGCCGAGTTTAAAGTGGGTTTCATCGAGCCCGTAGGCTCGGCCAAAAATATCCCCTTTGAACCTACCTAGACGGGTTCAGGGCCCTCTACTTCCCCGGACGAAACCTTGCCCTTCGGCAAAGCTTCTTCCGGGTTCCTCTCTGGCAAAGCAGAGAGTTCGACAGACGTCGCTGACAGTCAGAGACTGTATCGAGACGTATCTCAACCAGCAGGTATTCTCACTGTCAGTATAATTATACTTTGGACGAGTCCATCTTATGTAAAAAGGGGAGAGCCCCACAACAAGTTCAATTCGTTCGCAATTAGTCTGCTTTACAAGTTCATGTTTAACGTTTTACTGATTGTTTACAGCACTTAATAGGAATAGAACTTCCTTTTTGAATTTTGAAGCAGATTAATTTAAAAATATATTTTAATACGCCAAGAAAAATTTATGTATGATGTTGAAATTATTTTTTAAATATGCCAAAAAGAATTAATATTGAAAATATTGTTTGTTTAAAGAAAGCTGAAATATAAATAATTACTTTGCAAACAGCTGGACGAAACAGCAAAGCGATATCTCTTTGGGTCTGTCCTTAAATACGAAACATTTAATTTAAAAAAAAATTCTGAACGGAGAAAGTTAAAATAAAAATACATACTGTATATGCAACTCGTATTTCTAAATCTTATTTGCTTAAATCAGATCAATTTAATTAACATGCACCGGGCGGAGGCACCACGCAATCATATACTTTTAGTATATATATATATATATATATATATATATATATATATATATATATATATATATATTCTAAAAGGGACAGTCCACCATATATATATATATATATATATATATATATATATATATATATATGGTGGACTCCCCGTCGTATTCGACGTATGAGGGTCAGCAACTCAGTACCTGGCAACCGACAGCCAGACACCAGCAAATATGATTTGATTATAATGGTGAAGGTTTGTGCAGAACTAACCACACATTTTGATAACGTCGAACAAACTCTAGCATATGTCTCAACATACAACAAAAACAATCCAGAAATATTCACAGAAATCACAAAAAATCTAGACTTACTTAGCAAGAATAATAAACTGAATAATATACTAAAAACAACCAAAATAATTAAAGGCAAACGCCAATCTAGAAACCTAAAACACATATTAACCTCATCTAAATTTAACCAACACACAATGCAGGGAGTCACAAAATGCAACAAAAAAAGATGTGGGGTTTGTGACATCATTATAGAAGGAAACTCCTACACTTTTGAAAACCAAAAAAAAAAAACATTCACAATAAATAAAAACTTAAACTGCAACTCCAAAAATGTAATTTATGTACTTAAATGCACAAAATGTAAGAAGTCATATATAGGCATCAGCCAACAACTGAACAACAGGGTCTCCCTACACAAAAGCAATATAAAATTGACAGACAACAGAAAACTTTTTGTATCAAAACACATTTTCAAATGTAACCAGGGTAAATTTACTATCATGCCGATATATCAAACAGACAATTACTCGTACCTACAAATACAAGAAAAAAACTTTATAAACAAATTTAAACCCGAACTAAATCGATCATAACCCCCCACACAAAAACACACAACATGCACACAGGGTGACCAAATACAATGATGAAATCACCCACATACATGGACGCACGCTCATATACGGGAGACACGAGTATATATATATATATATATATATATATATATATATATATATATATGTAGACATACATTTATATATGTATATGGGATGTTGACAAAACGAGCACACATCAAACCCCACACAACTTAAGAAGTACGTGTGTGTGTATGTTCGTGTGTGTGTGTGTATACTGGTTCCATGTAGCTTGGGAAGTATGTGTATATATATATATATATGTGTGTGTGTGTGGGTGGGTGGTTGTATGTATTGATTTCTTGTGGTGGGATGGTGTGTATGTGCGCATGTGTGTGTATGCGTGTATATGTACCAATAAGTTTACTAATTCTTCGTAGTAAGACAGTATATGTATGGAGGGGAAATATACGCACGCATATATACACGCATGCTGACAGAAACGCACCAAAATGGAAACAGATCCAAGAACACATAGGGGTCAGTAAAACATTAAAAGATAAAATGCCGATAACTAATTCATCGTTCCGCTTGGACCAACCTTAATTGTTTTATGACCCTTCGCGCAGAACTCTTCATTGCCAATTCAAGAAAGAAATTCGGATTACCAACACGCAAACAGAGAATGTCTCATATCGAGAATATTTAACATTGAACATAAGGAAAAAATTAATTATTTTTAATAATATGTGGAAATCTCCGCTTTTATCTGAAGAAGGTCGCGAGACCAGAAACCCGTGTCGCAATATATAAAACAAAGCATAATATTTTTCTAAATAAATCCACATTACAACCAAAAAAACGTTTGCGGCACATCTCTTCTCTTCTTTTTAATATACATACTTTTCTCTCGTTGGAACCACTACAACATATTTTTTTTTTATATATATATATATATATATATATATATATATATATATATATATATATATATATATATATATATAAACACATACACGCAGAGACATATACACGCATATATGTATTTGGGCAGCAATCCGACTTTTTACAAGTTTCATTACAATGTACTGAGTTTAAGTTATGTATTTAATTTCTCTTATGTTCTTATAATTTTCTACTTTTCTGGACATAAATTATGAAGAAATTGTCCGAATGTTTTGTATGTCCGAGCATTTTCGGTGAGCCAATATGAAGGATCATTTTTTTTTTTTTTTTTTTAAATTTAGTTATAAGATGTTTTATTTTCCAAACCTGTACAGTATATTGTGGCTGTGTTTATAGCTGATAAGTCTTTACTTTTATTTTTTTTTTATAATTCTTCCATTAATTTTCGCTTGATTTTACATGTGATGAGGCAATAAACTTGTATTATCAACTATCAAACCACATCCACAACATACATTTACATAAATTTAAGTCCAGGAAAGAATAAAATTATAAGTACACAAGAAAATTTTTAAAAAATTAACCATAGTAACTCATCAGTCGTTTTTAATGAAACGCCCAGTTGCCTCTAACTAGGATCGAAACCCTGCTGAATTGGCGTCAGTCTGAGAATCAACACCTAAGCCCTTGGCGCACGGCAAGTCTGAAGGCGAATATAAACGTATTTATTTTTAGGTAAACAGGCCAGTGAATAGAAGAACTCGATTCGTTTTATCGAAGAGTATTGCATTAGTAGTAGTAATAGTCACTGTTTACAAACCCACACTCTACCCCGAGAGCTCAACCGAAATAATTTTTCAGGAGCGTATATATATATATATATATATATATATATGCTCCTGAAAAATTTCGGTTATACATACGAGAGTTAGTAAAGGCAGTTTTGAAATTGCGCGGTAAATGCTTAGGATGACGGGAAGCTAGTCGCGCATAGGATTCCATTGTTTAGTTAAGTGTCATGCAGCATCGATGTCTGACGTATGAACCCTTTCCTCAGCGAATGTTCATCAAGGAAAAACGTAGCTGTAGCGTGCATTCTTGGAGTAGACGGATTAAACCTGAAGAAATATACTGCCGGATATTTCCGCAGATGGAGCCCACACCATTAATCAAAGAAAAGTATACGATTGGGTAGGTCGCTTAAAAGCGAGACGAACAAGTTTAAGGGACTAAAGTCGATTTGATCGCACACGGTAGAAGATATCCAGAGAATGGATGTCTTCCCTGACCGAAATATTACCTTAGCCTAATTGACGGCAATCGTTTGTATCAGTTCTGTGTCTACAAAAGACATAATGCATGCTGACTGGGTTACTGTAAAGTTTGTGGGCGTCGGATGCCTGAACAAGCAACTGACTTAGGCGTGGCTTTGTGAACAGAAAAGCTTATTTTCCAAAAGGCTGAAGACGCTCTTTGAACAATACCAGAGGTGCAAGGTGATGTTGTTTAAAGGTTACATATGCATCAGCGGGAACAAACTCTTTGTATGCAAATTGCCTTTACGTTATTATTTATTGATTAATTCGTTTTCTATGGCTTATCAACACTTTGCAGGTTATTTAAAGCCAGACAACATTTTAGATTCAAAAATTATTTTTTTAAAGATAATAATGGTTTAGTGATAAATCTGTTGCTAATTAACCCATAGTTGGATGGATGAGAGGTGGATTCATATATTTGCCAATGGTATTCGCGCGTAGTTGAATACAACGAACGCATCGCGAATTTGAACTCGGCTCCCCGATTAACAATTACGAGCCATTATCCGTTACACCATCCGCACATTTAGCTTGCAGGACCTGGTATTCCCAAGAATTCACTCATCTAAGTACTGAACAGACTCAACGTTGCTTAACTTCGCTGATCATACGGGAACAAATGTTTCAACGTGATGTGGCCGTAAATCTTTTTACTTGTCCCCATATATATATATATATATATATATATATATATATATATATATATATATATGTGTGTGTGTGTGTGTGTGTGTGTGTGTGTGTGTGTGTGTGCGTGTGTGTAAATATATAGAAAATAGGAGAGAACTGGTTAGGTTAATAATCCAAAATTCTTTAGTATTTTTGTTATTATTTTTAAAAAATAGTGCTCGATACAAAAGTAGAACATACTATAATTATTTTTATGTAGCGTTGGAATCATATTTTTAATTAAATAAATAAATAAATATATATATATATATATATATATATATATATATATATATATATATATATGATATAATATATATATATATAATGAAGATATAGTGTGTATATATATATTTATATACTAAAAGGAGATATATATATATATATATTCATTATATATATATACTTATCTTCATTATATATATATATATATATATTATATATATATATATATATATATATATATATATATATATATATAATGAAGATAAGTATATATATATATATATAATGAAGATAAGTATATATATATATATATATATATATATATATAATGAAGATAAGTATATATATATATATATATATATAGATATATATATATATATATATATATATAATGAAGATATATATATATATATATATATATAATGAAGATATATATATATATATATATATATAATGAAGATAAGTATATACATATATATATATATATAATGAAGATATATATACATATATATATATATATAATGAAGATAAGTATATATATATATATATATATATATATATATATATATATATATATATATATATATATATATATATATATATATAAGTATATATATATATATATATATATATATCGTTTCATATTGAGAGGTGATGGTAGATCCAGTATTCTTTTTGGCAGATACATTTTGGCAAAGAGTGTTTGCCAGGTACTCCGACCGCGATGTTTACAACGTTCCGTGTTTTTCGGTTGGCGACTCTTCCATTTCAGCTGCACTTGAGTTCCTAAGAGACACGCATCAAGTGCTTGATTTTGTTGTGTCACGCTAGGTCGATACCCGAGAGATGGCGTTTATAGACTGTATATTAAAAGCCAACAAGCTGGTAGAAGACTTCTCATTTTTGACGAACTGCTACCGAGAGACTTGGGGATGGCACAAAGCAAAATGATACAATTTTATCATCGGAACTATTGAAATAAAACTAATAGTTAAAGAGAGAGAAGATAAAAAAAAACTGCCACCGTGGTGAAATATCAATTTAAGGCGGAAGAGCAACTCAAGATTGAGAATTACTAAGGGATTAGCGACATAAGAGGAGGAATATCTTGACTACCGGTATTTAAAAAAAAAAAAAAAACAATAAATTAATATCATTGAACAGAATTAGGAAAAAACATGAAATGTCTTCGACACATAATGAAGAAGGAGAGATTGGAAAACTTAACACTCACAGGGCTTATTGTCGGCAAGGGAGACATGAGAAGGAAGAAAACCAACTACCTCTGAAGCTTGTGTGAATATATGGCGGAAATGAGTGAGGAGGAAGTCTTAAAAACAGAAGGTAAATTTTCCTCAAGGAATAGAAGATTTGGAGAGCTATGATCGCCTGTGTTCTGCAGGGACGCCTCACGTAGACAAAGAAAAATTACCTTTTTACTTTACCGATAGATTGCAGAAAATAGATTCCAACAACCCTTTTTCTTTAGACGAAAGGTGCAATCCAGTCGTTACTGTAGCACATATTCTCATGTGCTGCCTTGTCGCGTTCCACAAAATCAGACCTTTAAAGATAAGACCATCTTTGTCATGCACATACTGAAGAATCATCCACATTTCCTTTTTGTTCCATTGGTAAGAGGAAAAAGTACTATTCGGACAACTTCATCCCAGGAAGAGTTAATTGTTAGTCTAGACTCTTGAAGCGTATTAATGTGTGTAAATCTTTAATAAGAAACCCTTTAGAGATGTCAATTTTTTCATTTTTGTTGGATTACCGCCCATTGCTTACAATTAGAGGCTGCGTTATTTTTCAACCCTCGCAATTTTTTCGACGACCCCGAGAGCGAAAACCCTCTCAAAATAGATTCACGGCCTGTCTGTACTCAATAACTTCTGAAACTTTAACGGAGGATTTTATCTGAATAATTTAACTACTTCAAACGATGATGTCATTTTTAAATTATACAGCCATGGCCAAAATTATGGAGCACCTATAAAAATTTGAGATAATAGTTTAAACCTACGTATTTCAAGGTTAAGAATCGTACAGTGAACAAATGAGAGCAAATGTAAAATATTTAACAGTAGATTGTAGTATTTTTTGCTTTAAAGCCTCTCTCAAGAGCTTTAGCTGAGTTTCGTACTAAATTCATTCCAATATTCAAAATGATTTATTGTCATACTAAAGGTTGTTTCGTAATTTTCGGGTAATATTTGATTCCTACCAGTGTATATTTAATTGAAAATGCATCCAAAGAAGCAGCTTTCAGAGATTAAAAGGACACAAATTGTTGCTTTATCTGGTGAAGGATATTCTCAGGTAGAAATTGCCAGGAAATGAAATGTTCAAGGAAGTGGGTTCAAACAACGATTAAAAGGTACAAGGAAACAAAGTCTTTCAAAAAGAGAAAAGGACAAGTCCGTAAAAAGTCTACAACCGCCAGAGAAGACAGATCTTTGAAAAGAGCAACCCTTGCAGATAGGAGGAAAAGTTCTTCAGAGCTTGCTGAAGGAGGATGCAAACAAAAACATTTCAGCTCGAACAGTGAGAAGAAGGTTATTAGAAGTGGGATTAAAAGGATGCAAAGCCAGGAAGAAGCCATACTTGTCTCAGGCCAACAAGAAAAAAACGACTGAATTTGCAAAAAACATGAAAATTGGACACCTGATGATTGGGGCAAAATTGTTTGGTCTGACGAAAGTAACTTTGAGGTAAGTTAACAGCTTCTATTTCCTAAACTTTGGATGTAATAATTGAAATTTTATGTGAATACACATCCATAACATTTATTCAAAATTGTAACAAATTCTTTTTTTTTCATCAGATTTTTGGCACCCTTGGAGCGGTTTATGTTCACCGTAGGGAAGGAGAGGCATTTCATCCTGATTGTGTGGTTCCAACTGTAAAATTTGGAGGAGGAAGCGTAATGGTTTGGGGCTGCATGGCTTCTTCAGGCACTGGAATGTTGTACACATGTGAGGGCAGAATGGACTCCACAATTTATACTAACATGCTGGACCAGGTTTACCGAACCTCTTTGACTAAAATATTTAATAATAACATTCCAAGTGATGTAATCTTGCAACAAGACAATGCTCCATGCCATACGTCAAAAGTTTCAATCGGTTGATTTGAGAAAAAAGGGATTACAGTGATGAAGTGGCCCCCTCAATCCCCAGACCTAAATCCCATTGAAACTTTGTGGTCCCATTTAGGGAAAAGAGTGAGAATGCACAAATGTTCATCAAAAAAAGAATTAGAGGCCAAACTTCATGAAGAGTGGCAGAAAATAGATCCTACCACCTGCAACAACTTAGTGAATAATATGCAAAAACGAATAAAAGCTGTTATAAAGGCAAAAGGAGGACATACCAAATATTGATTGTTGTTATTAATGTTTACTCCACTATTCTTAACCTTTAAATATATAAGTTTGAATCATAATTTCGATTTTTCGTTGGTGCTCCATAATTTTGGCCAAGGCTGTATAATTACGCATACCAAACACTGGTAATTATTTAATATTTGTCTATATTTCTGAGACAAGGTATTGTAACTATTTACATTATTTAGATTGGTCAGACTGTTGTCCTCGTAATTATTCTCATGTTCACGATGTTTCAGTCGTAATCTCCGGCCTTCTTCAGGTGATTGGAATTCCGAACTGAACCCATTATTTCGTCCACTGGGGTAGATTGTCTAGCTCCACGTGCCATGACTCTTCCGAATATCATCTCCCTTTAACAACTCTTCAATAACACATGGCACAGTGGACAAAGGCGTTAGTTAGATCCAGTGACAGGACCCAAAGAATGGGAGTTCAATACCGGGTTAAGACGGTGGAGAGCTTGGAGAGGTGAATTAACAGGAGATACCTAATAAATGACATCCATTAGACATGGCACGTGGAATTAGAACAGTTTACGCCACCGAGCGAAATAAAGGTTTCAGTTCGACATTCCAACAACCTGAAGATGGCTGTAGCGTACAACGGCCGAAACGTTGTGATAAATATGACAACAAAGAAGAGGACAATAGTACAAATAATGTAAATAGTCTTCAAGCCAGGTATTGAAGTGATAATTTACTAGTTCTAACCAACGCTTTAATCTATTTCACTTTGAGGACATCAGTGTAGTTTTGGGACTTATAAATTTAATGTCTCAGTAATCATTTTTTTACTATAGCTCATATTGCAATTTTGTTGTCATTATTGCTTTTTCTAGCCCTCTCTATTACATTTCCCATATTGTATTCATTTCTATTCTTGGCCAGCTTAGAACATGCTTGTGGCCTAGCATATGTGCTGATTCCTTAAGTTTCCGTATTTTCCAGTGATGTTCTCTGTCTATTATTTCAACCTCATTTCACAGGTGGGGATTTCCCTTTCCCTGCATTCCCTGCTTATGTGGCCATCTACGCCAGGTTTTTCTATTTCCCTCGCGTTACATCTTTTATGGTGTCCTTGCTGTTTTACCTTATATATATATATATATATATATATATATATATATATATATATATATATATATAATTATTTCCTGTTAATTCTGTATAGGAAGTGTTATAACAAAGGATGGAAAATACAACACTGAATTCCGAAAGCACATTGGAACAACAAATGATGCCTTCCAAATGTTAAGCAAAGTATCAAGAAACAGGAAAATTTAAATATTAACCTAGAAAAGTCTACTGAGTTGTTATCTAATATCAATATTCCTATATAGACTTGAGCCAACGTAAACA